AGGGGCAATCCATTCATGGCGGTGGGGAGGGTCAGTCCATTCGTGGCAGTGGGGAGGGTCGGTCCATTCGCGGCGGTGAGGAGGGTCAGTCCATTCACGGCGGTGGGGAGGGTCAATCCATTTGCGGCACTGGGGAGGGTCAATCCATTCGCGATTGTGGGGAGGGTCAGTCCATTCGCGGCAGTGAGGAGGGTCAGTCCATTCGTGGCAGTGAGGAGGGTCAGTCCATTCACGGCGGTGGGGAGGGTCAATCCATTTGCGGCACTGGGGAGGGTCAATCCATTCGCGATTGTGGGGAGGGTCAGTCCATTCGCGGCAGTGAGGAGGGTCAGTCCATTCGTGGCAGTGAGGAGGGTCAGTCCATTCACGGCGGTGGGGAGGGTCAGTCCATTCCAGGGCTTCGGCTGTGATGGACTCCCAGGAGCGTGTGCACACGAGGGGATCTCAGGGACCCGCCAGCTGCCCCTCGTGTGTGCGAGGTGATTTATGCTGCAGTTCAGCTTGTTGTTCGGTGAATCAGGAACTTGGAAATCGTCAGGCTCTCTTGCTTCCTAGCCCTGCTAACGGCTGAGGTTATCACAACAGCTATAAATCCCCCGCAATTCTGGATGGGAAATCTCGTTATTTCTTCTCTCCCCTTCCCTCTCTGGGCCAGGAGACCTGGCAGAGCCACGGGAAAGAGGAATTGATTCAAACCAGCTCCAGCTCCAGTGATCAGCCATGAATCATTCTCACCAGGAGACCCTCCCCTTCCCCGAGCCCTGGCTGCCGGGAAAGCGAGATGGGCTGTCTCATGGAGATGTGCATCAGCTCCAGCAGGGCACGCCCAGGGCAGCGATTACTGCCCCCGGGGCAAGTGCAGCCTTGCTCCCTGCGCCCTGAAAAGATGCCGGAGAAAACAAAACATCTGCCCCCCATCCCGAGCAGGAAGCTTGCAAAGATTTGCCAGGATGGGGACATGAGGCCTTTCCCCTCAGCTGGGTCCACAGGGGCCCTTCCTGTGTACAAGCAGAGGCCAAGACCCCGCTGTTACAGTGGCCTGGGTGATGGGTGGCCACCCAAGTCACTGCAGGATGGCTCCATCGGGACAGAGCCCATGGCAGGGACACAGCCAAGGGGGGGAGGCCTTCCTGTCTGCTGCATGAAGGGAATCGAGGGGTGTCTGCTTTGGCAAGTGAATGGTGGAGCTGCGAGAGGCAGGGCCAGGACTGGTCCACCGGGGCAGGGGCGGGGGGCCCCTGGGGAAGAAAGGGGGGGAA